ACTGCAGCCCCCACCCATTTCTGTGTGTGGCCTGCTCAGGGTGGTGCCAGGCACCCAGGGGCCTCCCTGCTGGGTTTCTTACCTTCCTCCTCCTCGCCATCCTGAATCCCGCCAGCCCTGGGCCTGCCCTGGGTCTGCCAGGCCGTGCCCTGCCCCACCACCACCCCTAAGGCCTGGGGGCCTGGGATAGGTCTGCCCGAGCTCTCTCCCCAAGTAGGGGCACCTGAGAGAGGCCCCCTGGGTGGGCCCCCGGGCCCGGGCGGGGCTAGGGCTTTCCAGCAGCCTCTAGCCCCAAGGCCTGTGTTGGCATCTCAGAGACTGGGGAGGGCGATGCCGGGGTGCGGGGCCTTGGTTTTCTTGGGTTCACTCAGGGCTCCCTCTGCCCCGGGCCTGGCACTTCTCTCCAGCTCTGGGACAGCTCCCCTCCCAGCTGGGCTGCTGTCACTCAGGTGGGTCTAGGACACACAGCAGGGGAGGGGCCACCCTGGGCCTCTTCCGTGCCCTGCCCCACCCCTGCTGCTCCCCACCTGCCGGCCACTGGTGGAGAGCAGAGCCTATATATAGCAGCTGCCAAACGCTAAGAGGCTTTGACAATTAAAATTCATAATTTATCTCTCAATGGCCGGGGGCCGCGGGCAGGCTGGAAGGCTGGCGGCTCCTGTGGAGGGCTGTGCTCCACCAAGGGCAGGGGCCCAGGGCAGCCAGGGGTGCTGGTGGCCGCCTGGGCCTCATTCCCCATAGTGGGCAGGTGGGTGCCACACTGTGTCCCCTCAGCACCCTGGGGAGAACACTGGGCGTCCCACTGTGCCTAGGAAGTGGGGCAGAACCGTAGGCTCTCCCCTGTCCATACGCAGGCCACACACAGGGGCGGATCTCTCTCTCTCTCTCCCTCTCCCTCTCCCTCTCTCTCTCTCACACACACACACACACACACACACACACGCACACTCACCCCGGGGCCCAGCAACTCTGCCAGAACGCAGAGCAAGAGGAAAATAAAGAATTATACAAGACAAAGGACATGACCTCAATTTTCTTCCACGTTGAATTTTCTCTGCCCGTGGAGGGGGCAGCGGCTGGGGGAGCTAGGGAGCGGGCAGAGCCAGGAGGAGCCGTCAGTCTGGGTTGGCCCCGCCCCCGCCGCCCCGCCCGCCCGTCCGGATTAGACCGGCCCATTAGCGGCCCCCACCTGAGCCGTCATCAGCCATTCACACCTCAGCGGGGATCGCCCTGGAAAGCAGAATGGAGTCCCGTGCGGGGCGGCGGCGCCCTGGGCATGCGCGGGGAGACCCTGCTCGCCCTGCGGTCGGGTTGGGGCGCAGGGTGCGGGTCCTGGACGCCTTCTCTCGGCCCCTGGGAAGTGGGTCCGGCCCGGGGGCCATGGGGAGGGAGGTGGCCTGGAGCTGAGGGGCCCGCGGGAAGCTGACCCCGCAGGGCTGGTGGCTCCACGCTCAGGCTCGGCTGAGGCTGCTCACCCCTTGCTGTGGGAGGAAGGTCCCACCCCCCCATCCCCCCGCCCCACAGGGGCTGGGAGCACCGTCCTCACCCTCCTTGGACTGCTTTAGCGAGGGGTGTTGGAGCATTCACCCTGGCCCTTCAAGCCCCACCCCCACCCTCCTGCCCTTTGACCCTCCTACCCCGCCTCCCAGTTGGCACCGGCCCTGTAACAGGATCCCTCTGTGAAGGCAAAGAGGGTCTCCACCCCCACCCCGAGGCAGTGGGCGGGACTTAAGGAGTCAGAGCTTGCCTTGCTTGTGTGGCCGATGGTCCCAGCCTTATCACCTGGAACCGGTTAAATCCTCCCCTTCCCCCTCCCCGATCCAGCCAGGTGAGGGTGGGGGCCGGTAGGAGCTGGGGCAGGGGCAGCTGGGTAGGGCTCCAATCCCGTCTCCCTCCTGTCCGCTCCTGCCAACACCCACCTCTGTCTGGCACCTCCTCTCCTCTCCTCCCTGTCCCCCGGCAGTCTCGCCTGCCGTGTGTCTGTGTCACCTCTCTCTCTCGGTCCTCTCCTGGCAGGAGCCTGCAGACCCAGGCCCTGGACAGTGCCGAGACCGGGCATGCCCACTGCTTTGGCAGGCGAGGGGAGCAGCCGGGCCACACAGCCAGGCTGATACGCCAGCGGCCCCGGGAGCCAGGTCCCCAGCCTCGTGTGCCCGGCTCCTGCTCGCGCGTGCCGGGGCTCCCTGCTGTCCCCGTGGAGTGCTGAGTGGGAGCGCCATGAAATATTGATACTGAAACCTGAAATAGCCAGGCGCTCATCTGTGCTGCGGCCAGGCCCCACGTCGGTGGGGCTGAACCGTGGGAGCGCAGTGGGCCCGGGAGGCCCCTGTTCTGACCGTGGGGACGGGCTCTTGTCGCAGGGCACCTGGAGCCTGCTCTCGGGGACCAGCCCAGGTCTCCCCAGGCAGCCCCGACACAGGGCAGCTTCCTGGAGGAACAGCGCTGTCGCCTGCCAGTTTGGTGGCCTGAGCCTAGGGCAAGGGAGGCTCTTGGGGGAGCCTCAGTTTTGCTCATCTGTACAGTGGGCGAGACGCAGGTGTGAGGGCTTCCCAGACAACGTGGATAAAGCCCGAGCCTGGCCCATGGCGAGGCTCTCCGACCGTCCCTATCCGGCTTGTGAGGGCCTGGCTGGGCGCTGGGGCGGGGACCCTGGCCCCCCTCCAGGCCTTCCATGAGTGGCCAGTGCCACGCCCCCTTCTTCTCCACCAGTCACCCTCAGGGGTCAGCCAGGCTGGGAGGCCCCAGCCAGGGGCGCCCACCAGCCTGAGCGGCCCCAGTGACCCTACAGGGACTTGGGGTCTGGGCCCCTCTCCCGGCCCCCGAGCTGGGATTGACGATGCTGACTCAGCAGTTGGAGAAGGTGTCGCTCCAGCTCTGGCTCCCGCAGTGACCCTGGAGCCTCGGGGGCTGCACAGTGCAGGAGGCAGGCCCAGGTCCCCCGGCGGGCTGGGCTGGGCTGGGCTGGGCGGTGTGTAGGGGTGCAGCCAGCAGGGCGCAGGCCTGCGTGCCTCACGGCTCGGGGCCCGGAGGGCTGGGGCAGCTGTGGGGTCTGCATGCGGGGTTTCTCGTGCAGTGCGTGCGCTTCCTCTCTGTTTATTGGTGCAATTTTTTAAGCTCCTGCCTTTGTGGGAAGCCCTTGGGGGCAAGAATCCAAAAATACAACGCTGATTAAAATACATAAAACACCTCTCATTGGCCGTGGTGGGAGGAGCCAGGAGGAGGATGGATGGTCCTGGGGCACCGGGGGCAACACGCCGCCCACTCTGCAGCCTGGTGGACCCCCGGAGACGTGACCCTGTCAGCAACTCCAGAGGGCAGAGACCGCGGGGGGCCATGGGGCCAGGGGTCAAGGCCCAGCACCTGGGCCAGTGTGTGCAGCCTCGGAGCCTCAGTTTCCCCGCCTTTCAGGACAGCCTGGTGTGAAAGCCAGGGGAGGAGGCAAGTCAGAGGCCACGCCACCCCTCGGAGCTGCCATTGCTCCGTGGGTGGCAGCTGTCCCCGGCTCCTTGCTCAGTGGGCCTGCTGCACGCCCAGCTCCGTGCGCACACTGTGGCCCTACCAGTGCACACTGATGCACACACACTTCCCGTGCAAGGACACGCGCCAGGGTCAGTTCTGTGCTGCAGACGCTGCCTGGCCGTGGGTTCCTCACTCTCCAGGACTGCGCCTGTCACCAGGGCTGGGAGACCCAGGATCGATCAGACATCTGGTAGAGGCTTTGGAGCGTGTTTCCCTCTTTGCCCAGGTCACTAGGAAGCTCTCCCCTTTCGCTGTTACGCAGGACTTTGTGCATTCTCTCCTGACCGGCCTCTCTTCTTTGGCTCTGATTGCTTTATCATCTCTCAACTGGCCCAGGTGATGTCTAGAACTGGCTCAGGTGCCGTCTGGCAGTTGCACAGCGCCACGAATGTGAGAATAAAGGGCTTCGGGTGATGTCTGCCTTGAGGGTGGGAGGCCACTGAGGCACAGCTTGGGCCCATTCTCCAAAAGGCGGGACGGGCTCGGGTCCCTCGTGGCTTCGCTGGGGTGGGCGGTGAGAGGGGAGGTGGATGCGTGGGGCGTGAGTGCCAGGTCCCAGGGGCTGACAAGCATGGGGGGATGGGCACCCCCGCCTGCCGCCAGCCCTGCCCTGGGCTGGGTGCTAAAAGTGCTCTCTCTCTCGAGGTCCCCAGCCTCGTACCCGCACCAGCCCCAGCTGCCTGCCCAATTACTTATTGATCGCCTGTCGGGATGTTTGCTTTTCTGGTGGGTCACTGGAGCGTGTGGGACTGTGGAAAGCAGCCTGGGGGGCAGGGGGGGCGCAGAGCCATAGAAGAATCCAGAGAGGATGGGAGGGGCTCTGGGGCGGACAGCGCCCTGGGGGTCAGCAAAACCTTCACGGTCGGGGCATCCGCGGCTGCTCTGGTTAACCCATCACTTAGTCGATCGACAACCACGAAAGCCACTGTGGGTGCTGGAAGCCTAGTGGAGCTGGCGTCCGTGGGGTCTGGCAGGCCAGAGCTCCTGCCCCATATCTGCCCTACTTCCTAGCTGGGTGTCCCCTGGCAGCCAGAGCCTCCCCAGCCCCGGCACCTGAGCGGTTGGCAAGGGTGTGGTGTTGACAGCAGAGGCAGGGGTGGGAGAGGGGCCTAGACTGGGGGCGTCCGACCCGGGCTGCCCGTCGCGGGGCCATGACGGCAGGGGGTGGACACAGCAGCTAAGCCCAGGGGAGCCGGGTGGAGCGGCAGGGAGGGGAGCTGGGGTGGGGATGGGCGCAGGCAGCCTGGCTGGCTTCCCTGGGGCTGCTGCTCATCACCGCCCCCAGTGCTGCCACCCAGGCTGCAGGAGGAGGTGTTTGGTGTCTTGAGGGGGCTCCCAGCAGGGTGAGAGGGTGCAGACCCTCCCGGTAGGTATCCCGGCCGCCTGCTCGCTGTCGCTGTCCGAATCGGGACGGTGGACTCAGGGCACCCACACTGGCCTCTCACCACCCCCCCTTGTCCTGTGCTTGCTCCCCGCTGCAGGTGAGCGAGAGGATGCCGGCGGGGGGCGCGAGGAGCGTGCCCAGCCCCCTCCTGGCCTGCTGGCAGCCCATCCTGCTGCTGGTGCTGGGCTCGGTGCTGTCGGGCTCGGCCACGGGCTGCCCGCCCCGCTGCGAGTGCTCGGCGCAGGAGCGCGCCGTGCTGTGCCACCGCAAGCGCTTCGTGGCGGTGCCCGAGGGCATCCCGACCGAGACGCGCCTGCTGGACCTGGGCAAGAACCGCATCAAGACGCTCAACCAGGACGAGTTCGCCAGCTTCCCGCACCTGGAGGAGCTGGAGCTGAACGAGAACGTGGTGAGCGCCGTGGAGCCGGGCGCCTTCAACAACCTCTACAACCTGCGGACGCTGGGGCTGCGTAGCAACCGCCTGAAGCTCATCCCGCTCGGCGTCTTCACCGGCCTCAGCAACCTGACCAAGCTGGACATCAGCGAGAACAAGATCGTCATCCTGCTGGACTACATGTTCCAGGACCTGTACAACCTCAAGTCGCTGGAGGTCGGCGACAACGACCTGGTCTACATCTCGCACCGCGCCTTCAGCGGCCTGCACAGCCTGGAGCAGCTGACGCTGGAGAAGTGCAACCTGACCTCCATCCCCACGGAGGCGCTGTCGCACCTGCACGGCCTCATCGTGCTGCGTTTGCGCCACCTCAACATCAACGCCATCCGGGACTACTCCTTCAAGCGGCTCTACCGCCTCAAGGTCCTGGAGATCTCGCACTGGCCCTACCTGGACACCATGACCCCCAACTGCCTCTACGGCCTCAACCTCACCTCGCTGTCCGTCACGCACTGCAACCTGACCGCCGTGCCCTACCTGGCCGTGCGCCACCTGGTCTACCTGCGCTTCCTCAACCTCTCCTACAACCCCATCGCCGCCATCGAGGGCTCCATGCTGCACGAGCTGTTGCGGCTGCAGGAGCTGCAGCTGGTGGGCGGGCAGCTGGCCGTGGTGGAGCCCTACGCCTTCCGCGGCCTCAACTACCTGCGCGTGCTCAACGTCTCGGGCAACCAGCTGACCACGCTCGAGGAGTCGGCCTTCCACTCGGTGGGCAACCTGGAGACGCTCATCCTGGACGCCAACCCGCTGGCCTGCGACTGCCGGCTGCTCTGGGTGTTCCGGCGCCGCTGGCGGCTCAACTTCAACCGGCAGCAGCCCACCTGCGCCACGCCCGAGTTCGTGCAGGGCAAGGAGTTCAAGGACTTCCCCGACGTGCTGCTGCCCAACTACTTCACCTGCCGGCGCGCCCGCATCCGGGACCGCAAGGCGCAGCAGGTGTTCGTGGACGAGGGCCACACGGTGCAGTTCGTGTGCCGCGCTGACGGCGACCCGCCGCCCGCCATCCTCTGGCTCTCGCCGCGCAAGCACCTGGTGTCGGCCAAGAGCAACGGGCGGCTCACCGTCTTCCCCGACGGCACGCTGGAGGTGCGCTACGCCCAAGTCCAGGACAACGGCACCTACCTGTGCATCGCGGCCAACGCGGGCGGCAACGACTCGGTGCCCGCCCACCTGCACGTGCGCAGCTACTCGCCCGACTGGCCGCACCAGCCCAACAAGACCTTCGCCTTCATCTCCAACCAGCCGGGCGAGGGGGAGGCCAACAGCACGCGCGCCACCGTGCCTTTCCCCTTCGACATCAAGACGCTCATCATCGCCACCACCATGGGCTTCATCTCCTTCCTGGGCGTCGTGCTGTTCTGCCTGGTGCTGCTCTTCCTGTGGAGCCGCGGCAAGGGCAACACCAAGCACAACATCGAGATCGAGTACGTGCCGCGCAAGTCGGACGCGGGCCTGGGCACGGCCGACGCGCCCCGCAAGTTCAACATGAAGATGATCTGAGGGCGGCGGCGGCGGCGGCGGCGGCGGCGGGGCGGGGCGGGGAGTCCTGCTCCTGGGTGCGCGCACGCGCACACACACACACACACACACACAGAGTACCCCCTCCGCGCCCCAGCCAGCCCCGCTCTCCTCTTTTTCTACCAGGACCCCGGAACGCCAGGCCTGGGGACCCCCGCCCCTCCTCCCCTCCCCCCGCACAGCGGGCGCGGGGACGGACCGCAGTCAGAGCCTATGAGGGGACCGCCGCAGCCTCACTCATTCAATAAACAAACAAAAGTTACGAACTTCTTCTGTAACTTGGGTTTCAATAATGATGGATTTTTATGAAAACTTGAAATAATAAAAAGAAAAAACAACTCTTTCCTATAGCTAGTCGGAATGCACACTTTTCACGGCCTGACCGCCCCAGCTCCTGTTTGTCCCCCCCCCTCCTCTTCCTCCTCCTTTCTCTTCTCTTCCCCCCCTGGGGAGGGATCACTCAGGAAAACAGGAGAGGAGGTCCCAGCCCCGCTTGCCCGCCCCCGGCCGGGACCTGGTTGGGGAGCTCGCTGGGCGCCAGCTCTGGGTCCAGCTCTGGGCTGGCCACTTGCAGGGAGGGGACAGGGCTGGCCGAGGCGGCCCGAGGGCTGGGGGTCAGGAGCTGAGACTCTGGACGGGCTGGGGTCCTCCTGGGGAGACAGCCAGGAGCCAGAGGCAGTGCCGAGGCCAGCCCGGGGCCCCGCCCGGCCGCTCACCTGCCCTGCGGCGGGGAGCGGTCACCGGTCCCCCGTCTGTATGGACAGGAAGACTGCGTCCGCCCTGCCTACCTCACAGGGCTGTTGTGAGGACGGACAGCTGATGTACGTGAGACACTTTGTAACCTGTAAAGCGCTGTGCACACGTGTGGGTGACTTCTGCTGTTGTTATTACCTCGCTGCTGGGGAGCCAGGGCTGGGCGCTCCCTGGGGACCTCGGCCTGGGGTCTGCGGGGATAGGAGCTCCCGCTTTCTCCAAGCCTTCTTTCCGCATGCACTTAGGGAGCGCCTGCTGTATGCCACGTCCCATGCAGATCGCCAGTTCTGGGTGCCGGGGCTGCCTTCCCTGCTTCCCAGACCCAGTGTTGCCCCTCCCAGCAGACGCAGCCCCTCCTGGGCTCCCAGAGGTGCTGGGTGTGGGGCTAGCGCCCCCCCGCCCCCCATATGTGAGCCGCCTGCCGCAGCAGGAAGCCCCGCCCTGGTGAGGGGTGCCCTGGATGACCGTGGAGACCCGGCAAGAAGCTGCCCACGGGTCTGGCCCCCAGCCCACCGTGCTCTGGCAGGCGGGGCGCGGCCCTGGGGTCTGCTGGCCTGGCTTCTTGCTCCTTGGGGACTCCCTGAGCGCACCCACGGCCGCGGCCCGGTAGGCAGTGAGCTCACTCCCAGGCAGCCCTGAGAGAGGTTGTGGCCATGGGCCGGCCTGCCCTGGGCCCACCTCTCATGCTGTCCGTGCCCCAGGGAACTGGAGTGCTGGACGGCGGCACTGGTGTGGAGAACCGGTAGCCTGCCCCCTGAGGGGCCATGGCACAGGCCCTCCTGTGCCATCCTGCCCGGGGGCCTGGTTGTGCTGCCTGTGGGACTGTTAGCCCTCGTGGGACACCTCGGGCTTCTGCCATGAGCAGTGGGAACCCGGGCCAATGGTCCTGGGAAGGTAGCAGCCCCTGGGGAAACCCAAGGACAAAGGAAGTTCTTCCGTGGTTTTCAGATGGGGGAGGGTCAGCTTGGGGGAGATGTGAGTGCTGGGGGTGGAGGGAGGCAAGGGGAGGGGTTTCAGTCCCCCACAGCCCTGTCCTAGCTGTGCGGCTTTGTGGGCAGAAGACAGCAAAGGTGACTGCCGCTGGGAGCCTCATGGGGGCGGGGGGGGGGAAGATTGTGGGGAGCCAGGCTGCAGGGGCCACTTTCCCCCTTGCCCTGGCACAGGCACAGCTGGACCCTGGACCCAGAGGTGGGCTGGTGGTCCCAGGCCTTCCAGGGCCACCCATATCCCACGCATGTCACACCCAGTGGGGTGGGGTCCAGATGCCCGGTCCCCTCCAGCCCCCTTGGGAGCTGGCTGCTCCACTCACCCTTTGGCCTGGGGCCCAGGGGGCTGGGAGAAGGCCAGAGACTGAACCCTGGGAGTGTAGCCTGCTGTCCAGGAGCCCAGGCCTGGAGCCGCCGCAGGCCAGGGTTGTCTTAGGTGGCCCGCAGCAGGACTGGGCACCCACCCAGAATGAGAGCCAGGATGGGCCCTGGGAGAGTGAGTGCCCCTCCCTGGTTGCCCTCCTGGCTCACGGTGACCCTGCAGTGTCGGGTGGGCTGTGAGTCCCACCCCCACCCTGCATCCTAGGTGCAGATTGGGGTTGAGAGGCGCGGGGAGACCACAGGCTGAGCTGAAATGCAGCCCCAGCCAGAGCGCGGTGGGCGCAGACGACCCCTGTCATTGGTGTGACGGCCACATGGACGGGCAGGGGAGTAGGACTGGGAGGGGAAGGAGCTGTGAGAGGGACCCCGCAGGGCTCCAGAGAGCTGCACCTCCAAATGGGGCTGGGGTGCCACCCAGACCTGGTCCCCGAGGGCCTCCGGGTTATGCGAGATGCCAGCAGGCTCCGGGCTGTCACTGCGTCCTGCCCAGGACAGAGAGGACGGCCACGCCCAGCGCCCTGGAGGACCTGGCCATGGTGCAGGGGTCATGGAGAGCACGGGAGGGGTCAGGGAGGGCAGTAGACCCTGGCTGACGTCAGGAGTCCCAGAGGCTGGGGGTGGGGAGTTCTGGCCGAGGGACTGTGAGCTTTTTGGGGCCTGAGGCTGGACTACCGGAGCCCGGGCACACAGAGCAGCTGAGTGTCGGGATTTATGGATACCCCCATAGTCTGGCTCCTCGCGGCGTCCCTTTTCCCGCTCTCTGCGGTCCTCTGACGCCCCACAGCCCACATGGGGCCAAGCACTGCCCTGGCTCCCACGCAAAAGCCCCAGCTCCAGCCTCCTCCACAGCCGAGCGGGCCAGGGCCTCGGCTCTCTGCAGGCAGGTGCTCCAGGAAGAAGGTCTGATTGGTCGCATCTCGGCCAATGGGTCAGCCGCCTCCAAGTCAGGTGCCACCACTTGTCCAATCAGCTGTGGCCAAGGCTTGGCACCTGGCTGATCCGCACGGGGGTGCAGTGGGTCTAGGAGGGATCAGGCCTGTGCTGGTTTCTGCTGCTGCAGCACACGCACCTCAAAGCCCAGTGATTTAGCCACCAGGCGTGTGCACCGTGCTTGGCCATGTGCACAAAGCTGGGCGCGGACAGAGAGCCGCGTGTTCTGCAGGGGGCCGGCTGCAGGAGACCTGCCCAGGGCAGGGCAGGGGCATCCACTGTGGCTTCCAAGACTTCGGTCCCCTCCTCCCGGCTTGGGGAAAGGTCCGGGGGACAGCTGGCTTCTCCCTTTCCACGTGGTTGCTCTGGGCCAGTTGGGCTTCTCGATGGTGGCTCAGCCAGGGTACGGGTGAGGGAGACGCAGCAGTGACCCCCGGTAGCCGCGGTTTATCTAGGGCCTGTGCCAGGGGCCAGGCCACAGGCTGCCTCCCTCCTCTCCTCTCATCCCACCGTGGGTGAGAACGCTGAGGTGGGAGACGAGCCCACCTGGAGCTCAGCCCCGCTGGATTCACACGGAGGGCTCCGGTGCATCACTGCAGGGAGAGCAGCCACCACCCCCCCCATTGCAGACCCAGCTCCTCCTCTGGGCAGCGGGCACAGCTCCGCCACCCCCTGCAGCTCTCCTTGTCATGGGGCAGAGAGGTGGTGTGCAGCGGGTGCCGTGAGGTGGTGCATCAGCACCTGCCTGGGGGCCAGGGGTCAGCATGAACAAAGCCCAGTCAGTGCCCCCTCCTGGCCCCCAGGCCACATGGCCCAAGGCCTGGCAGTTGAGCCCTGGTCCCTGCTGGCTGGGGTCCGAGGACAGTGCTATGCAGCAGTGCCCTTGCCTGGGAGCCCCCAGCAATGATTCCAGAGGGAGTGCTGGCCTGGAAAGGGATTTACAGCCTTGCCATAAACCTATGACGGCGTCCCCGGCCCTGGCCCTGTCATTCCGCGGGTGACAGCGCTGGTGTCCGGGAGGGCTTTGAGGGCACCCCAGTACACCACGCCAGGCCCTCTCCTCGCCCAGCTCCTCTGTGCTGTCCCAGGAGGCCGCCCCCGTGCCTGCGTGAGGACCCCGCTGGGACCCCGCACCCTGAGGTCGGCCAGGGCTGGGGGTGGGGCAGCAGGATATTCCAGAGGGCAGAGGAGGAGGCTGAAGGCAGAGAGAGGGCCAGGCCCAAGTGGTTCCCAGGATCCCCAGCCCAGCCCGCTGGCAGGGGACTGCAGGACTGCCCTCCTGTTCAGAGAGCCCCTGCCCCAGGTCGCACAGCTGCGTCATGGCTCCTAGGGAAGCGCACAGTGCCCCATGCACACCCATTCTGTAGGCAAGAAAACTGAGGGACAGGGGAGGGGAAGTGGCCCGTCCCAGGTGACAGGACAGCGCCGCTCTGCCGCAGCCGCCCGGAGCACCTTCCTGCGGGAAGCCCAAGGTCAGACTGGCCCAGGGACACCCAGGCCCAGAGCAGCGGGCGGCTGGAGGCTCTGCCTTGGCTCTCCAACTTGCATTTACATAGCTCGTTAAAAAAATATGGCGTCGTAAAGAGGAGAGACGCAGGCACAGGGAAGTCTGGCCGCTCCCTTGCCAGCGTGGTCTCAGGGACGCCCCAAGGGCAGAGCTGGGGGAGGGGGTGCAGCACCCCCGGCAGCACTGGCACTGGGCAGGGTTGTGTTCCCAGGTGCCTGCCCCCCCAACCTCTGTCCACAGCCCAGCACTGGGAAGTGGACAGTTTGCTCTGTGACCTCTAGGGTGTGTAGGGGGAGCAAGGCCTCTGGCGGCTCTGGCCCCTGGCTCTAGACTGGTTGGGGGATGGGCAGCAGGTGGCCCCTGGGCTGTCAGGGTGGGGGCAGGTGATAGCCCGCGGGCACGGCATTGTGCCAGGCAGCTGTGTGACTCCCGTGAGCTCAGAGCAAGGCGGGCAGTTAATGGGCCCAGGGGTGGGGCCAAGCTGGGGCTGTAACTCTGTCCCGATTTAGCAGGGGGTGGGGACAGGGAAGCAGGATGGGGCACTCTCAAGGTCTGGATGGGAGTTGGGGGAGACCGGGTCAGTAGGCTTCTCCTGGGCCCCTGGGACGGTCAGCCGAGAGATGCCTGGGGACTTGTGCAGGCCCACACAGCAAAGCATGTCCACCTCTTGTGCCGGGTTGTGGGCAGGGGCCGGGGGGCCCCTGGCATCCTCTGTGCCCTTCCCGGGCAGCCTGCCCTGCCCCTCTGCCTCTCTTTCCCTCTCCACAGCTAGGGTTGCCCCTGATAGACCCTGGAGCCCAGGCAGCCCAGACAGCGGCTGAGGGCTGGCCAGGATCTGCTGCCCCATGGTGAGTGCGGAGCCGGGACCGGCAAAAGACACAGCAGCCAGGGGCATGGAGAAGAAGCCCGACCCCCCGCAGGTGCCTGGCTGGCGGTGAGCCCGGAGGACAGCTGCTCCCTTCTGTGCAGCAGCTGGAGGGGACAGAGACTCTGTGAGGTCGCTGGGCTCCTGTGGCCGCCCAGAGCAGGGGCACTGGGGGCAGGGTGGGGTGGGTGGGGGAGGGGTGGGATTGCTCTTTGCGGGGGGGGGGCAAGCCCTGAGGAGGCCAGTGCGGCCCAGGGGGGGTTCCCAGGGCCCAGCTGGGCCCTCCAGCCTCCCCCTACTCCCAGAAAGCTTCCCAAACACACCTATAGGAAGAGGAGCAGGTGGGGGACACACCTGGCAAGCGCCCTGTGGCTGTGGACCCAGCGTCCCATAGGCAGTGGTGGGTAAGGGACAGTTACAGGTCAGCAAGGGAGCAGGCAGAG